GCAGGCTCTTCTCAAGCTTTCTCAATCCTGAGTTCAGGTTTTGGCGGGTATACCTGGACATCGGGGTTTCACTGGCCTGATCTTTCCTCTCTGCATTGGGTAGACCGTTATGAAGTTTCGCTGGTTTTCCAGCAGGTAGACTGGGCTGAAGCTTCGCTGGCCTGATCTTTCCTAGCTGCATTGGGTAGACTATGCCAAAGCAACACAAATAGACCGGGATGGCCCGGATCTAACCCCATCGCGGGCTTTGAGTTTGACACCCCTGGACTACAATGATGTGGTCCTTCACAAAAAACATATTGGACTCGGACTTCCGGTTTGCAAGGCTTCGCCGGCGGCAGGAATCCGCGATCGTGCGTGGTTTCTGCTACGCTCACTGCTGGAGTGCCCCCGATCCAGCTGGATTTGGGAGCTAATAGTTACCCCGTAGAGGTAACTGAAGACAGGGGAGATCCAGTAGGGGTCCAGGGGAATCACAACCTCCCTCCTCAGCTGGCTTAACTCCCTTTTCCGAAGGCGGTGGAGCGGTGGTCAGCAATGGCCGCCACAAAGAAGCTTTCATCCGGAATGAGAATGTGCAGGAGAAAGCTGAGAAAATGAAAGTTCTGGCTGACCAGGATAATAAGTAGCATTTAAATACCCTGGAATTTTGTCAAAGATACACCGTTCCCAAAGAAGTTTGGGAAAAGCGGCGGATGAAAGTTAAAAGGGAAAGTTTGTTTTTTCTCACTCTCCTTCCTTACAGTGATAGCAGATGGGAATCGGAAAAACCCGTTCTGGCACCAGCAGGTAAATTTTAAATTTGAAAGTTAAGCCAAGGGGACATTAAAGATTTCTGAACATTGAAAAAAAAAATATTATTATTTTGCTATAAGTGGGAAGGGAGAGGAAAAGAATTAATAAGATTTTGCTGGAGGAGGCTGCTTTGAACTTATAAGACTAGAGTTAAATTGTAACAAGACTTCTAAAAGATACATTTTGGAATTTTGCAATTGAACTGTACCCCAGGAAGAGAAAGTATAAAAAGAAGAAAGTGCTAAATGAAACAGTTTGTGTGTATTTGGATTGCTTGGTGACTTTGGGACCTTTGGAAGTTATTATTTGAAAGACTAAAAACTTTTGGGTTGTTTAAAAAACTTTTTCACAATGGCATTACTTGTTGATGAACTGAAAATGGAATTTAAAAAGCTAAAAGAAGAGGAACAAGAAGGGAAGGGCTCTTCTGGATCTTTTTTCATTTTTTAGAAATGGCGATTTCTACCTATCAGGAATTACAAGAACAAGAAGGTTGGGATGAAAAAGAAGAAGCCATCTTTAATGAACAAACAACTTTAGTTGGGGAAGAAAAGGGAAAGAGGAGAAAGAGAATGGAGAATTTAAGACTTAAAAAACAACAACCAAAAAACAGAAAAATAGGGTGAAAAATCGATACAATGTCAGAAAGCAACAGAAAAGAGGAATACAGAAGAGGGTGGAGATTAAGAGGGTGGAGGTCAAAAGACGTGGGGGGGGTAAAAAGGTTAGATTGGAGAAGAAAGGAGGGGGGAAAAGGAAGAGAAGTTACAAAGGTTTGAAACAAGATGTAAAGGAACAGGATTTATTCAGAGATAATGGGTAAAAATATAATTAAAAAAGAGATTCTGCAAAAGTACATAAGACTGTGTTGTTGTATTTGTATTTGAAATGTTAGAAAACTGTAACATTATATGATTATAAAATGGGATAAAATATTAAAAGGAATGTGTAAAATGCTTAAGATTTAATGATAGAGTTTAATTTGCTATGGATTATTATTTTAATTATATTATAAACTTATTATTTTCCTATTTTAAAATATAGTACGTAGCTTTAGAATGTACTAAGCAGAATCAGAATGAAGATTATATATTATTTTAAGTGTTAAATTTAGAGGAAAGATATAGGTGTCATACTTCAATCAGTGATTACAGGAGAAATTTTGTGTTAATGAGAAAAGATAATAGATAACTGAAATAGAGCAGACAAATGATACAAGCATAATGATTTAAATTGAGATGAAATAAATAAAACAGAATTAAGAGAGTGAAAAGAGGGGAGAAGCTATATAGAAAATGTAGAATGGTAAATAAGATGTGAAATGGTGTATAAAGTGAGCATGAATTTGATTTATGTCTGCACAAAAAGATGTAACCTGGGACTAAGCCACTTTCCAAAAAGAAGTTTTATGTTTTCATGTTTTGTGTATGTTTGTGTATGTTTGTTTATTGAAAATTTAAAAAAAATATTAAAAAAAAACATATTGGACTCAAATACATACTTAGTTAGAATAAGTGATTAAACAACATATAGATTTGAAACCACAGATATTTTTGGTGGGTATATTACCAGATCAGTATGACAAAGGCAAAACATATTTAATTTTACATATGTACGACCGAGAGCAAGAATTGTGTTTGCACAGGAATGGAAAAGTGAAAAGATCCCTACAGAGGAAAATGTTATATAAAAAATATTAGAATACGCTGAGATGGACAGATTATCAATTAAAATAAAAGACAAGGAAGAAACAGAATACTTTTTAACATGGAACTTGTTTTACCAATGACTAACTAACAGGAACAGAGGTTACAAACCAAAAAGATTTAAAAAATAATATATTTTTTTCATTTGATAACTTTTCAAAATGGATAAACTAATTGTATTATCACTTTGTGATTAATATTGATACGATTATTATGATTATTATTATGATTTATGTTAATTAACATTGTATTTGTTTTTAAAACTATTAATGTCCAGACAACATGCTGTTCAGATTGATATGGAATATTTTATCTGTATATATAGAAGCGATATACCACTCAGACATCATCACGAAATCTCCAGGACCGTAAAGCCTAAAAACTTGAAATTTGGCACGTTTGTTCCTCTTGGCTTCTAGGTGCTCAATAAGAAAGGA